GTTTGTTTGTTTGTTTGTTTGTTGTTGTGTTTGTTGTTGTGGTTGTTGTTGTTGTTGTTGTTGGTGTTGTTGTTGTTATCCCCCACATGCTTCGTGGGGTTCTAGTTTTCTTCTCTGCCGCGTCCCACCCGCGCTCACTCACTCACCTCCCTCTTCCCCTCCTCTTGACAGCACTGCTCAGCACAGCACAGCACAGCTCAGCTCAGCACAGCACAGCACAGCACAGCTTAGCACAGCTCAACTCAGCACAGCACAGCACAGCACAGCACAGCACAGCTCAGCTCAGCACAGCACAGCACAGCAGTCGCCTGCCCGTCGGTACAGCACAGCACAGCACAGTACAGCACAGCACAGCAAAGCACAGCTTACACAATACGTAAGCACCACATAATTGGCACCCACATGAGACACACGTCCAGATACGGCCGCACACGCATCATACACATACACATGACACGCCATACACAACACGCACGTGTAGGATGCGCAGGGCACGGCAGGCATGGCCGTTTCCCGACACCAGGGGGAGTGCGTTGGGGGTGGCCTTGAGCGCCTGCGTTACAGGCGACCTGTGCGTGGCGCGTTCTTGACACCATAGGGGGTGCGCAGGGGGTGGTCCCTCGCCGCGGTCTCTACCCGTCCCAGGGTCGCGGGGCGTGGCGGGCGTGGTATTTTCTCCACGCCACACGGGGTGCGCAGGGGGTGGTCCCTCACCGCGGTCTCTATCCGTCCCAGGGTCGGGGGGCGTGGCAGGCGTGGCGGTTTCTCCACACCATAGGGGGTGCGAAGGGGGTGGCCCCTCACCGCGGTTTCTATCCGTCCCAGGGTCGCAGGGCGTGGCGGGCGTGGCGCTTTCTCGACACCACAAGGGGTGCGCAGGGGGTGGTCCCTCACCGCGGTCTCTATATGTCCCGGGGTCGCGGGGCGTGACGGGCGTGGAATTTTCTCCACGCCACACGGGGAGCGCGGGGGGTGGTCCTTCACCGCGGTCTCTATCCGTCCCAGGGTCGCGGGGCGTGGCGGGCGTGGCACTTTCTCGACACCATTTGGGGGTGCGCAGGGGGTGGTCCCTCACTGCGGTCTCTATCCGTCCCAGGGTCGCGGGGCGTGGCGGGCGTGGTACTTCCTCCACGCCACGCGGGGTGCGCATGGGGGTGGTCCCCCACCGCGGTCTCTACCCGTCCCAGGGTCGCAGGGCGTGGCAGGCGTGGCACTTTCTCGACACCACAGGGGGTGCGTAGGGGGTGGTCCCTCACTGCGGTCTGTATCCGTCCCAGGGCTGCGGGACGTGGCAGGCGTGGCGTTTTCTCCACACCATAGGGGGTGCGCAGGGGGTGGTCCCTCACCACGGTCTGTATCCGTCCCAGGGTCGCGGGGCGTTGCATTTTCTCGACGCCATAGGGGTGCGCAGGGGGTGGTCCCTCACCGCTGTCTCTATCCGTCCCAGGGTTGCGGGGCGTGGCGGGCGTGGTATTTCTTCCACGCCACACGGGGTGCGCAGGGGGTGGTCCCCCACCGCGGTCTCTATCCGTCCCAGGGTCGCGGTTCGTGGCAGTCGTGGCACTTTCTCGACGCCACAGGTGGTGTGTAGGGGGTGGTCCCTCACTGCGGTCTCTATCCGTCCCAGGGTCACGGGGCGTGGCAGGCGTGTCGTTTTCTCGACACCACAGGGGGTGCGTAGGGGGTGGTCCCTCACTGCCGTCTCTGTCCGTCTCAGGGTCGCGGGGCGTGGCGGGCGTTGCGCTTTCTCGACACCATAGGGGGTGCGCACGGGGTGGTCCTTGAGCGCGGCCGCTATCCGTAACGGTCGTCCAGGGCACGGCAGGCGTGGCACTTTCTCGACACAGGGGGTGCGCACAGGGTGGTCCCTGAGCGCGGCCGCTATCCGTGATGGTCGTCCAGGGCACGGCAGGCGTGGCGTTTTCTCGACACCACAAGAGGAGCGGGGTGGTCCCTGAACGCGGCCGTTATCCGTGATGGTCGTCCAGGGCACGGCAGGCGTGGCGTTTTCTCGACACCACAGGGGGTGCGCACAGGGTGGTCCCTGAACGCGGCCGCTATCCGTAACGGTCGTCCAGGGCACGGCAGGCGTGGCGTTTTCTCGACACCACAGGGGGTGCGCACGGGGTGATCCTTGAGCGCGGCCGCTATCCGTGATGGTCGCCCTTGCGGTATCGGCGGGGCAGTTGCCACCAACATCAGTCTCACATGTTTCACTTCAGTTATGATCACCCAGTCATACTATAAGTATGTAGGGGCTCTCGGTGACGGAATTGTTGTTGTTGTTGTTGTTGTTGTTGTTGTTGTTGTTGTTGTTGTTGTTGTTGTTGTTGTTGTTGTTGTTATTATTGGTGTTGAACTCTAATTACTGAAGAATAATTATTGTTGATCCCCCCCCTCCGGCGGACATTGTATTTTTTCAATTGAAGTGCCCCTTCCGGGGCTCGCACCTTGTTTTTTATCAGGGAAAGTCGTGGGCATCAAACTGCGTTGTTGGCCC